AGTTGGAATTTGTTTGATTTGCCGACATTAAGTTGGTATTTAGCTTTAAAGCATTACTTATAAATCCCAATGAAATATTAATCGCAGTTAATTAACCATATTCTGTTGCAGACTATTAAAACTAATAATAGTTTTAATTAGTGGAGTAATTGAAACTAATTTATATACATGTATAAACGCAGACTTACTATGATTATATTTAGTTACTGGCTTCATATTTTTTGTCAATGATTTCTTTATTTAACACTCGCAGTTATTGCCTGCATATTTAATAAATATTACTGTTTAATTAAATTTTTCAAACCATTTTATAACTTTTTTAAAAGCAATGAATATTTTAACGAATCATAAACAGTCATGGTGTTTAGGTCTTATGACCTGCGGCGAATTGTGGTAAAAATATAATTTCAGTAAAAGTAGAAAAAATTCTTTCATTTTATAAAATTTGAATCAACGGATACAAAATGTAACGTACTGTGTTTTTTATTGATAAAAAAGGATAAATAACGGAGACAAAAGCATCACGAGTGCAAGTAGAGAGGATGCGGAATCAATAAAGGCTCAGACTTCAGTGTACTTTCTTCGAAACTTAGATTTTTTAAGTAAATTAATATAGATTGGAATATGATTTTTAAATACCGGATATTAAATGCTTGTAACTTACTTTAATGTTGCTGAAAACCGAATCAATGTGTTTGAATGCAATTACTTTAACCCGATTAGAAAAGATTATACATTATTTGTAACAAGGTTAGACCATTTCAAACCTAAAGCATGTGAAAATTTAATGGGCACAAAGTTAAGCATCACTGTTTTGACAGGTTATTTCTATAATTTGAAGTCTGGCCAATATTAATAATTAGCATGCTTGTCAAGGAAAAGTTTTTCTTTCTTTATAACAGGTATCATACTCAACTAGGTGAAATATAAACTTGTACAACTGTGAAAGTCACGTGACTTGCTAATGAATTGCTAGTATTTCTTTGCCTTAATACTTAATCGGTATATTTTTTTTCAGCTTGAACAAAAATTCCAATCAGTGCATTATAATACCACATTGGAACTTTCATTGAAGAAAAAATTTGATTTGGAA